GAACCCACCACCTTAGGTGTATGTGGCTGGCGCCTTAAACACTTAAGCCACAGGCGCCAAGCCCACTAACTCTGACTCTTAAATTAAGAATACTTTCTGGTAATTGCTTTTGCAAGTAAAATATATAAGGAATATGCTCTACACAAGTTTCATGCTATAAATCCTTTCATTAAAACTATACCTAACTGCCTATTAATAAGAAAAACCCTCAGCTTGGTGCCTGTAGCTCAGCAGCTAGGGCACCAGCCACATACAAAGGAGCTGGCAGGTTGGAACCTAGCTCAGGCCTGCCAAACAACAGTGACAACTACAATCAAAAAATAGCCAGGCAGGGCAGTACCTGTGGCTCAGTGGGTAAGAGTGCCAGTCCCATATACTGAAGGTAGCCGGTTGGAAACCCGGCCCCAGCCAAACTGCAACAACAAAAATAAAAACAGCTGGGCATTGTGGCAGGTGCCTGTAGTCCCAGCTACTTGGGAGGCTGAGGTGGGAGAATGGCCTAAGCTCGGGAGTTGGAGGTTGCTGTGAGCTATGATGCCAAGGCACTCTAGTGAGGGCAATAAACTGAGACTCTGTCTCTACCAAAAAAAACAAACCAACCAAAAAAATCCAGGCATTGTGGTAGGTGTGCCTGTAGTCCCAGCTACTTGGGAGGGTGAGGCAAGAGAATAGCTTAAACCCAAGAGTTTGAAGTTGCTGTGAGCTGTGACACTACAGCACTCTACCAAGAGTGACATAGTGAGACTCCGTCTCAAAAAAAAAAAAAAAAACATGGGTGGCTCCTATGGCTCAAAGGAGTAGGGCGCTGGCCCCATATGCCGGAGGTGGTGGGTTCAAACCCAGCCCCAGCCAAAAACTGCAAAAAAAAACCCAAAAAAACCCTCATATGGTGTTACTGAGACACTGCAAAATGTGAACACAAACAATAGCATGTATGAGAGCCAGTATAGTAAGTCAGTGCCTCCAAATAATAAAATCAAAATATAGTCATACGAGTAGTAAACAATTAAGCCATACATACCATAATAAATCACTTCTATCAAGCTTACACTTTCTTTGTGATCTTTTAATGCTTCACTTTAACTTTTAATGACACATAAAATACTTTAAATAATAAAAATATCTGATTTTATATTAAAAGGTTGACTAGAAATCTTAAATTCTATTTTCTCTGTGAATAATTCCACAGAAGAACTTTTCTTCAATTCTTTTTGTATTTATTCACCTACTAGCACTTCAATCTCCAGCCTCAGCAAAACACAGTAGTGATCAAATCAAATGACAAGTGAAAGCTTTTTCTGGTAGTATTTGACACAGCAATGTGAGTTACAGACACAGAGGTGATGATGAGCCTTAAGAAGCCTTTTCTGCACATAAATTGAAAAGACGTACTTGCACTAAGTAATCAAATTAGTTGATTACTTTGAAGCTTTTGCAGAATTTCACTTTTT